GAGAAAAAAATATTGTAGACAGATTTAATATCTTACAATTAGATTAAAATTCTTTGATATAGATATACAGTATCGATTCTTTTTTTTTTAATATAAAAGATCTTTTTGTGGTAATTATAATATTTATTATATCTTTCATCGTTGAGAATAGTGGCTAATAATTACAATTGCGTTTGAAATTCAAACAGAATTTTGTTTTTAACCATAGACGGTCTATATTATAATTTGCATTAGAATTCAAAAGAGAATTCTACTTATAATTTTATATGTCGTACAATGCGAGAAATATTTGAGAAGAATGAAAGTGCATATATATAAAATATATTTAAATATTTAAAAATACCGATACACAAAATATATGTAGTTTTAAAAATACATAGAATGTATATTTAAATATACGTATATCAAAATACGCAGTATATAAAATCAATTTTTTTATCCTAAAAGTTTGATGCGAACCACAGATAGCTGAAATTGAATTTTAAAGGAACAAAAGTAGTTTTTTAAAATTTATTAACATTTTGACAACTTCGATGTCTCTAATTCTTTCACTTGATTAGAAAACATAAAAAAATATCGAACAAAAAAACCGACAAGAAATCTCTCTATTTGAATAAAAAATAAATTTAATTCTAATCGCGATTAGAGGAAACTCGCCAAGTTCAATTCGCACGATCGACAGCGAACGTAATCGCGCTAACTTCACATCGTATTTCTCCGATTCGCTGTAAGATGGCGGCGGTTGTGCCCATAAATGCGAGGTGACGTGCGATGCGATACGTGCCTAGGCGCATTTGCGCGAGTCGAACGGAGTCGAATCGAGTCGAGTGTGTGTCGCGAGGTACCCGTGGCCCCTTTTTCCTCCGCCGAGGTGTTCCTCGCGGATTTTTCGGCCCAGGCCGGTGCTCCACGCCCGGTGCGTGTACGCCGCGGGATCGATCCAGGCCCGCGCCGACGACGATTCATGTACGCGGCGACGAAAACGCCGGATCCGCCGCGTCTCGATGTAACGACATTTCCGGAAGGCGAACCGACGTCCGCTCGCGGAATTTTTGGCACCGACGGCACGCCGTTCAAAAGAACGTGAGTCACGAAATCGCACTGGATATCGCGTTCAGCTACGCCGGGAATCGACTTGTACCGTCTGGTTAAAGAGGTTAAGTTTCGCTACGTTGACGACGCAGCGGAGAAGCGTGGTGGTAATTCGGTAGAATTTTTTATTTGCGAAATTTCTTCTCGGACCTTTGTTCGAGTATTGAACAAAGGAATATCAGTATTAAAGTTAATAGTTCTTATTTGAAATATTGTAGTTTAATAGTGACTAAATTAATGTAAAATGCTTAAATTTTAATTATTAATTGAACACTAATTACCTTTTATGGTATCTAAGATTCTAGGATAATTTAAAAATTATGAAATAAAAAGAAAAAAAATAAATCTTGCATATTAATACTTTATTTTGTCAAATATATTATTATCAATTTAACAAAGGAATGTAGAAGCAATCACGTTTGTAAATTTTGCAAGAAAATATAAAATTTTTTCTCATAATAAAAATGTGTGTCGAGTTATAATGATTATATGACATATTTTTAAATTGATACATACCTTTATCATGTTTTTCTAGGTATCTCTTATACTAATCTCAATTTAAGCATGTCAGAAGAACATCAATTGCCTTCTGATTCGGATGAAGACGACGAAGATTATGTTCCTGATGGCGCTGATTGTGATCCAGTATCCGAAGTAGAGTCGGAAGGCGAAATTGAGAGTGGCCCGGAGGACGAAAATGATGAGAACAAAAGAGATACTGGACGGAAGAGAGGTACAAAGAGATCTAAAGGTCGAAAGAGTAAAAAGGCAAAGCACAGAAGAACCTTAGACGGAGGAAGAACCTTAGAAGAAGGAAGTAAAGAGGAAGAAGAATGTAAAGAGAAGAAAGAGCTCACTGAGGAAGAAGAGAAAAAGAGAGCGGACTCTCTTTGGGCTGATTTCATGAAGGATACAGGTAAAACTTGTGCAAAATATTAATGTAATTGTGAACATGGAATATTACATATTATATAGGCTACGGTCAATGTGACGCTACAAATGCTTTGGAACGTTCTTCTTCTCTTTCTTTCTTCATTGAAAGAAAAGAGAAGAGGAATGCTTCGAAGCATTTGTAGCGTCACGTTGACCTCAGCGACCGCAGCCATTGTTACATAATACATAATGAATATTTTTTAATAGTAAATAGCACTCTAAATAGTACATGTGAAATAATACTTGAAAATTCGTTTATCTTCAGAAAGAACAAAATACAATATGATATATCTACAATGTTATAATATAATTTCTATAATTATATCTGTAATGTTTATAATATGATTTCTGAAGATGCATTTAAATATATTTTTGAGCTTAATACTATTATATTAGAAAACAGTTGATAGGAATGCTAATCCTATGTAAAACAAGGTAATATAATATTTAAAGAGATTCAAACTTGTAATACACATGCATATTTTTTACAGCTGTTGGGAAATCAAAGCCACAGAATTCAATCAATTCAATCAATAAGTCCAAAGAGAGATCGCCACCGATTCAAAAGCCAAAAGTCCAAGAAAAGGTTAAGATAACTAAAGTTTTTGAATTTGCTGGTGAAGAAGTAAAGGTCGAGAAGGAAGTATCGGTTGATTCTGCGGAAGCCAGATTATCGCTTTCCGCGGCCGAAAATTCCGCCGCGAAACCACAGGAATCCACATCTCCCGCGGCCAAAGAACGAGGCGGACGAGGCGGCGCTAAGCGCGTCGGATTAGGCGGCATTTCTTCGGTTCTGGGACAGATCGGAAAAAAGGCCAAAATTAGTACGTTAGAAAAATCTAAATTAGATTGGGACAACTTCAAGAAACAAGAGAACATTGAGGAAGAACTTAATACTCATAACAAAGGCAAGGACGGATATCTAGAGCGGCAAGATTTTCTACAGAGAGCTGATCTACGGCAATTTGAAATCGAGAAACAATTACGGAATTCTGGCAGACGTAGTACACGGTGAATTCGCATTTTCTCGTTTATACGCGTCACTTCCTTCGAGATAGGACGCTGAGATAATAATATCGCGGCAGGAGATATTTACTCGCAGACTTGCCAAACTCGAGCGCTTGCTGCACACGTTTAGCCTAATTTATTCGCGCTACATTTTGAGTAATACGCGGAGGGAGCGTTGCCTCGTTCGACTCGACAATGTGCCGACTACGCTAGCGATCGATGGTTTCTTTGAAGAGGGACCGATCATTCCAGTGTTTTGAGACTCATTTCTCATGCGTACGTAATAATAATAGCTTAAGTTACTTTCAGCGAGCCTTTGTCTCGGCCTGATGACCGCACAGAACTTCGCATCGAAGCAGATTGTTCGAAGCTTTTGACGCTTCTCGGAAAAATTGTGCCCATCTATAGTATATGTCCACAAAATATTTTTTTATTTCATTTCAATGAGACGCGATACGTTTGCATGTGTAGTATGAATATATATACGCAGACATTCTAATAATAACGATTAGAAAGTTATGAGTGAGTACGAAAGAATATATGTTTTAGGTAACATAACAAAATGGTAAAATAATAACATTGATTGACCTCATTCATGACCACTGCCTATGGCACTGTATGTGGAATATTATATTTATAAATGGACCTCCGTAATAGATAATCTAGATTATGTTGAAGCAGGTTGCGGCGATTTTTGTATATCATCTATGTCTTGAATTGTTAGTATAATAAGATAGTACAACACATAAAATACAGACATTGTTACTTTCATGTAATGTATTGTATTAGATAGCAATATCAACATAATACATACATAAGTATACTCAATATCCAATATTAACAATCCTCGATTCAGCTCAGGTTCCTCGATATACCGAATTTGAGATACATTTAGTGTAACTCCACACAAGGACTGCTTTACATTTGTGAATTCTTTAGTAATATTACCGAATAAATTGTCGAAAAGAGAAATGGTATTTGATATTTTCCAAACATCAAAACGGTTGATATTTTTAAAATATCAAAACTTGCGATTAGTCCACAAGCGCAATATAGAACCCGAAAATATTTAAAAAAATTATTGTATATATAATTTTTCTCTTTTTAAATATTTTATTTTATGCACGTATATAAATATATGACAACATTACAATATGGAAAACAATCAGGCGGATAATGGTAAAACTGCTTTTACAATCAATTTTTTTAACAAATTCTTTTTTTAAATTATTCTACAGAAATATTCATATTTTTAATAATATTCTATATTAAAGTTATAAACTTGTAGAATTATTAGACGAATAAAATTCAGATGATTTTATACAACATTGCTTGGAAAGCGTAGATACAGATACAAACATTTTAGAACGTTTTAAACAATTTAAACCATTCGGAATATCAATCCATCCGAAGCTACTAAATTATTGTCTTGTCACCAATCTAATTACGCGAGCACTAAATCTGCCAATTCCTCTGCGAGCAATATTTAACCCTCTGATAATTACGCTCCGTTCTTCACTACAAATTTCGATAATCAAGTAGAAGTCGTTAATGAAACGTTATCGCTTATATAAGAAATATGAATGTGCTAACTTTGGGTTTGCTGGCGATAATTCGCGCGAGTGTTTGAGCGCAGGTTTCCCCTCGCTGGTCGATGGGCCTGCAATACATTTATCCACTTGTGTGTCATTCTTTAATGCGTTTCTGCGTGTCACTCGTTTCGTCTCTTCTTGTCCGTCCTGTAAAAAAAGTTGATGATTCGCAGAAGCGTAACGTTCCATCTTGATACTTTTATGTGTTACTCTTTTTTACTCTTTACGTATCGAGCGTCTTATTTAATAATATATTTTCCGACAAAATAAAATTTACTTTATTAACTTTTTATCTCCAATTTGAAAAAAGGAGCTCGTATTTAGCTCGAAAGAAAGAATAATTGTCAATGTGCGACAAAACGTCATTTGGAATTTAATGTAATGCGGTCATTAGTCATTATATTGTTATTATATTATTGTAGATTAACTTTAACAGAGTAGCATTCGCGATGCGAAGGCATCTCGTGAGACGACGTGCATTTGCAAGCTCTTAGCTCATCCGAGCTGCGACCTCGCGTACAGACGCAAAGCGTCGCGAAACAGTCGTGCCTCGGTCGAGCGCTTTCTCTTTTCGAAGCCTTTTTACGTCGGCGACGCGATCTTCTCCTCCGCCTCTTGCTCCTCTCCGCAGGCGTGCTCTGCAGCAGATTTGCGTGTCCGTGCGAATTTCCGGCCCGAGTACCGCGACGCTCTGCCAAAAATTCACGGGTGAACAATGCGAATCCTCCGGCACGTCGGGCCTGAGGAATCTTTTTTTTAACACGCTTTCTTGTCACCTTCGTGACAGGTACATATTTGCTTCCTCCGATCCCGAGAACCGCCGGAAACTTGTCCGAACGTGTTGGGTCCTGTGCTCGTCGTGCTGCAGACAATTCAAATAAATGCGATGAAGCCTCGTATTTTGACTTATCGGCAACGTAGACGCGTTCAATTCTTTAGTTTGACTCCTTTATGCAGAGTGAATGATGAATGTATAAGTCGCTGAGCTTAGAATAATCCTTTTCTGCACGCTAATATTTAAAAATGTTCGCATATTTCGTTTCTGTTACTCTTGTCTCTTTATTATCCTGAATATTAATACTGCCTAACGGTATCAGATATTAATGCATAGCAGGTACTAAATGTACCAGGATACTCGGCATCTAATGTCGTGTGCTGTTATTTTAATCTAGAAAGGAATCTGGTTGAGTCAGTTAAAGCCGGTACGAAAGACGCAAGATTCTCTCAGGTACGCGGGGAAAGCAAGGTCGAAATTATAAAGAAAGAAGGTTTTGCAATGTCATCATTGAGTATTGAATTTATCATCCGGTGTCTCTCACCGCAACTTTCCTGACGAGTATGTCGAAGTTGAACTTTCGGAGGTTGACCGCGACGACTGGCACTTCTTGCTGAAAATAATTTTTAATTGATTAAGAATATAAGTAAAGTTTTTCTGAAACAATTTAATCTACATTTTTTTACATCGATATTTATTCATTAAATATTTGTCACAAGGAGAACATGTGCTAGCTAAAATTTTATAATTTATACACTGCAGAAGAATCTTTTCATATAATTTTTTTTTTCCGAAAAATGTCAACTATATTAATATTATATAATTTAATGAAAAATATTTTGTTGATATATACAAGGCGTGAATTATTTAGTACTTCTTGCAATTCCTCGACTCGTTAAACGACGTTCTCGAATTTTTTGAGCCATCTCTGGAACGCCTTGACTTCGTACGTTTCTGCTTTCTTTTATTTCGCGACGCGGTAGAATTGTCCGAAGAACTTGGACGTGACGTTGATGGCGGTCTCGGGTCTTTCTCTTTGTTCTTGTATTTGTGACCGCTATCGACGGTAAAGAAAATACTTTCGAGGTACGCGCGAAGTTAAACTGTGTACACGCCGCAGCCTTATCGTAAAACGCGGCATTTCATGAAGATCCTGTGCCCGGTGACGCGGCATTTCGTAAAGAATCCGATTGCGACTTGTCGGCTTTTCATGAACTGACTGGAGGATCCTTCGCGAGATGCTGCGATTCGTGACAAGCTTACAAGAGAGAGACGTGTTCCCGCAGGGATGACTGATCCGCACAGTCATTTGGGTTTAGCGAACCCACGGACCCGAGCTCAATACGCGGCGAACAGTTATTACATTTACATATGTTACATTTTATATATTACACATTTTTCATTCATATACCAGAATTTTTGCAAGCGATAATGCAATATAAACATCTGAGAAAAAATGAAAATGCGACCTACTTTAAAAATAAAGAGAAGAATAAAAATAAAAGCAAGAATCATATTAGATGGAGCAGGATAAAACGAAAAAACTAAAGCTTATATTTTATTTATATTACAATTTTTAAAAGAGAAATATATATGTATGACAAAAATAAAATTTTGAACGCAATATCATATATAATTAAGCAATTTTATAATCATGTATATAGTTTCTTGTATTAACGCTGTTTCTTATTCGTAACTTATATATAGTTTCTTTCCTTACGTTACACTCTTTTTATTTCCAATGCACTTTGGATTGCGGCATTGTCTCGGCATTTCCGATTCATCCGGCTAAAACTCGCATTTTTCTCAATCGATAACCTGCTGTGATTTTCAAGAATGCTAAAATAAATAAGACTGTATAGCTAAGATAAATAAGACTGTATAGACGTAATGACATTATTTGATTTATGAAATATGTTACCGGTACAATACTGCATATTTTTCAAGCATTTTTTATCTTTTCACATTAGGAAAAAATTGATTAAATATGACAGCCTCTTTATTTTCGTTTCTGCGAGGTTATACACATTTTACAGCTTTCTTTAATCGTGATCGAGAGAAACTTATTCGATTTTCGTACCAAATTAAATTTTAACCTATATGCATGGCACAAAAGGTGCACATTTTCGATCGTTGCATCTTTGCGCCTAACTTCAACTAAAGATGTCAAAAAAAAAAAAATGAATGAAAAACTTTTATCAAGCGCTTTAATTTTTTTTTCTTCCATATCGTCATAATTTTACATGCTGTTTCTTATAACGACGAAAATTTCTTATTATGATTGCATTAGTCAATCTGGTAATAATAATTGCTATTCAGCTACAAAAATAGTTTTAGCCTTTCGAGGGAATGACGAGGCGCTGCTCAGTTTTGCAGGGAAGCTCGCGGTTACGCTCGCGATGAGTATCGAACGTATTCTCGCCCGCGCGCGTTGCAACCGGCAGTATCGACGCCAGACTGGCGGCCGTTAGTCCGCGGCCTTGCCATCGGCGATTTATTCACCGGTCGGAATACCGAGAAGATTTCTTCCTTCGGCACGTTGCGTTTATTCTGGATCGCGTGAACGCTCTATTCTCGCCCTTTCGAAACTCTCCAATTAATCCACGTCATCGTCTCTTCCACCAGACTTTTCCTTTTCCTTGTTGTGAAACGAAAAATGCAAATTATATTGTTTTATAAATAAAATTTATATAATAATATTTTAATATAATTTTTATAACAAAAATATAAATATAAATAATTTAGAAAATTATATATATATATATATAATAATATATTTATAATAAATAAATATATATATGTATATATATGTATATATATATATATATATATATATATATATAATTAAAAGATTATTACACAAGTAAAATTTATATAATAATATTGTAGTAATATACATATATACATATACATATAAATATGTATATATATTATATATTTTTTTATACATTTTACATCATATATAAATTATACACAATATTTTTATAATATATTTGTACGGTTTTAACCCCTTTTAATGCTCCCTTTGGTCAATTCCGTAAAAACTCTTGCGCAAGACCTGTTACTGTTACCATTCACGTGTTTCCACTCTGTTGGACCATCCCCTCCGTAGCTGTGCCGGGACCAGATGGTTCGAATGTTTCACGCTACGTGGCGCACGCAAACCAGTTTATCTCGTGTTTAAAATTCAACATCGAACCTTATAAGAGGACTCGAGCGACGGCGAGAAGCATACTTACCTGGCGTAGAGGTTACCGTGATCATGAAGGCGGTTCCTCCAGGGCGAGGCTCTTCCATTGCACTAAGGTTAGGGCTGACCCTTGCGAATATCCCTAATGTGGATATCTCGGACGTATAATTTTTGGTAGTCGGGACTGCGTTCGCGCTATCCCGGAATAATATAATTACAAAAATAATACTCTTGTTCTCTTGTACTGAACTAGTGCAGCGAAAACGAACAAGCATTAATATATATCTTCGATCAAAACAGTCTAAACTTAGACTTATCTACAAGTCATGATTAGGTTTCAGAGTATATTCTGACTCTCAATGGTACGTAAGATAGAGCAGAGCCAGAATTTACGTGTTATAAAATATCTAAAATT